TCCCTGTAAGAAAAATAAAAAGTTTAGGCATGTTAGCGTCATATTTTGTGAAAAATCAGAGAATCCTTTATCTTGGTCACTTAGGGGCTTACATTTTGGAATGTTTTTATGCTAACTAAGTGTAATAAACAAGCATGTAACAGTCTGTTAGTAAATGCAGTGTTACTTTTGTTCCATACATAGTAGAGGAATGATATTTGGACACGTATATAAGGAGTCTCCATTCTTTATGTACTACAAAGGTCAAGGCCATATCAAGAGGTCAACGGTAAAATATTTTGACGTCATCTACTGAATCTTTTAGTTTTTTGCCATTGAATTTTTTTTAATCACAAAAATATCTGAAACCACCGGTTTAATTTTTCTTTATTTTTACACATTTTGTTCTAGGACCCATTTGAATCATTCTGTTGATTTTATGTAAAAATTGAGTTATACATTTTCTCTTAAGAAAACTTAAACTGTCGGATATTTACATGTGAAATTTCAATTCCGACACTACGTATGTTCTAATTTTACTTAATATTTTACTCAAATTTTCCAGTATCAAGTTGACTTACTAACTTAAAGCAACAAAAAGGATATCTTTATTAAAAGTATTACACAAATTTGCAGTAGATCAATTGATAATTCTAAAATAAGGCTTATTCTCAAGTCTAATGTCTGATTTCACAATCTCCTTACAGGGGTCTGATAGGCCATATTTCAGAATATGTTGGCAAAAAAATGTGCGGTTGAATTTCTTTAATATCATATATAAAGAGAGATTTTATATCTTAGAACAAAAATCAAAGTTTCGGGAAAATTGAATTTGAGGAAAAATTTGGCCTATCTATTGTGTCCTACCTTAAAAGCTTGACTTTTGACTGCAAAAACAAAACAGTACAGAATTTGCCAGATTTTTTTTCTATATTGTTCAATTCAAAATTAAATCAGTCTTGATAACAAACTTAAATAATTGATTTTTTGATCAAAATTATTCTAAATGTTTAAATTCCTTGACATTTTTACACATACTTCCAATAGAGTATTAAAACACTCCCTGTGCCACCATTCATTAGTAAATATTTCTTAGATTGAGGCGGCAAATGTAGCATGTACTGTACAAGTTACAGAGAAAGAGGGCCTTGAGCTGAAAATGATTTCCTTATTCATGTTTTGCATATTTATAGTAAATATGAAATAGCTAAGTGTTATAGGGCACATTTCACTATATGAAAAATCTATCATTTTTTAAATGTTTCTTTGTAATCCTCACAGCCCGTTTCTACTATTCCTTTCCCTCCACATATCAAATGCTAGTAGTGCTGCAATAATGTTAAAGGTGCATGGACACAGAACTGGTGTTTTTTTTTAATATTAAGACTAATATATTTTAATAGCAATTCACACAAAAATGGATCGAAATTCTTATTTCATCTAAAAGTTATTAAAACTTCAAATTTTTAGACGGGCTTGATTAACATATCCTTGCACTTCACACATTTTTAATTTTATTTTTAATGCTTAGGAAAGGTGGCAATCTTGTTGTATATAGATGAAAAATATCAAAACTTTAATCCAGAAAGTTCAGTGAAGAAAAGCAAAAAAAAAAGATAAAAATTAAAAACAGAATAGTGTCAGTCCGTGCAGTACTGGTGAGCAGACTATAACAATTAAACGCTTCCAGTGAATTGTAAACATCAACAATAATATAGACCGTGCACATTTTACACAAAACTGTGTACGTTTCACGGATGTGATCAATTTCCAAAGCCCAGTATACAACAACGAGGAGTGGTGATACTTGTGAAGGCCTGGGGTTATGCTTTCTTACATTTTTTCTCTGAATATGTAAGTTATTTCTCTGGATTGAAGTTTTAATATTTTTCATTAATACACAACAAGATTGCCACTTTTCTAAAGTATAAAGAATAAAGGTAATATTAATGAGAGTGCAATCAAACCCATCCAAAAAATTTAAGTTTCAATATCTTAAGATGAAATAATTTTTTAAAATATATTTTTGTGTGAAATGCTTTTAAAATGTATAAGTCGTGATATCAAACAAAAAATATTCACTTCAAATCTGTTTCCATGCACCTTTAAGCTTGCACCAATTATTATGTTTAATATGTTTGCAATCATGACATTTTGATATTTTCACTAACGCGGGTATGTTAAGGAAATATATAATTCATTTTTCGGGAAATTTAGACTTTTAAAAGAAAATAAAGTTTGATAATTTACCAAAACCGCTGATAAACGTAAACTATTACTATCTGATGCATTAAGATTAAAGAGTGTCTAAAGCAATGACGTGCACCACCACTGCATCACGTGACTTCTATTAATAGCGAAGTTTTCCTTAATTAAAAAAGCTAACAGAACAACAATACCCCGGAGTTTGATAATTCTTTGAATAAATTATGTTGTTGAAAAACATCTATTTTGCCTAAAAAGTGCTGCTAGAATTCTAGATAATTCTAGCTAGGGATTCTAGCAGCACTTTCAAACTATTTTAGGAGGCAAACTTTCCATACGTACAAATTTTACGTTTCGAAATATTCAGCTTATTGCTGTTCTGTTGCATAGACTTTGTCACAAATGACAGAGGAAAGGCCGACCGGGATACGTATATAGCCGACTGTCTTCGAAAGAGAATAAAATCGATGAAAATAAATTCGCATACCTGTTTTATTAACTGAACTCCATATGAATATCACAATATATTAACAATATTTGCTGTTAAACTCAATTTTACGTGACTTTAAACATGCCGTATTAGCCAAATTCTCTTTACACGGCATGATCAATTCCCAAGTTACTTGATATACACATATGACGTCATCGGTGGTAGATTTTAATCAAAATGAAAGAATACAGCATTACAAAATAAGAACATTTTATTTTTGCTAAATAAATGTTTACACGTTTCTGTTCATTTTGTAGAGTTAAATTACAGCTCTATATACCAATATTACGAAAACTTGTGTTTTAAAATTGACGTCATCTCGCCTACTATGACGTCATAATGTAGCACTGATTCAGTCAAGGTAGAATATTTTGTATACTTCCTTATTCCCCCTGCGTACTAAAATGTGATAGTACAATTTATTTCTTAAAAAAAGAAGTAATATAACATCTTTGTTACAATATGAAAACACATTTCAGTTCATTTTTATTTGACGAAAATCACAAGTGCTCATACATTTCATTTGATAATAATGATTGATATCTTTATTTAAGAATTACATATTAATATAATGCTACATGCATAATAAAAATAAAGGGCAAGATTCCTACTTGGTCCCTAGTTTGTGATTTTGTAATAATTTATCATTATAGACTTGCTGTAATTCTTTTTACAAAATGTATCATTTTTTTTAAACAAAGGGTACATAAAAGGGAAGGGAAATGTCATCAAAGTGTCATTTACTAACTTTTCTCTAACGATATGAAAGATTTCGTAATTTAATAACACATTTTATTTCGGAACACAAAGAGTATATTAAACTCATATATTCACAAAAATTATATATTCAATGCACTAATGTCAGACGCTTTTTGTATATAAAAATCATAGATTTGTAAGCTTGTGTTCTATATATCATAAATTCCGTAAAATGTCCAACTTTGGCACCCTCCTGCCCCCTTTTCTTATTGACTCAAACGAATTACTGTTTTTGAAACAGTCAATATCAAGAGTTTTAAACTCAAAACTATCATAATTTTTACTGTTCGTATTATAGCATCAAATTAGAGGCCACATTCGGCAATTGCCATGCCTTGTCCTTTATACATACTATGAAATGTCAATTTCTCTCATAATTGTACATCTATACTAAATTTTACAATGACAAACTACTTTTATTGATAAAGAATATACATGACTTTGAAATACAAAGTTAACATAAATTGTTTAAATTTTACAACTGTATAATCTACATCAAATTACAAACATGAAATAATAAATTATTTTCTCTTTTTTGTCATAGTCAATGAAGTGATAATTTCAATAAATCAAAGAAATATGATAGCAAACATGAAAGAAGTAATATAATATGATATAAAACAATAGATCATAAAACAAATATCTGTTAATAAGGATCATTGACCTTCACCAAAGCACTTTTTTAGGGAGAAGTAAATTTTCATCTTTAAAAAAAATTATTTGTAAATACAAAAAATGAATTGATTTGCAAGACAATTTCATAAAAAAAGTTATACAAAGTGAAAATTTAAATATACAATAATTTATTATTTACACAGTAATGTTCAGGCTTCACGAAGCTTTAAACAAGCTCAAAATGTAACACTGCGTTTCAAAATCAATTCTTGTTTTTTTGTGAGTTATGAAATCAAGTAGGTCTAATTCATATAAACAAATCCTTAGACTATACAGAAACGTATTTGTTACAATATCACATGACTTCGATGATCACGTGACGGTGATAGATCATAAAACAAATATCTGTTTATAAGGATCATTGACCTTCACCAAAGCACTTTTTTAGGGAGAAGTAAATTTTCATCTTAAAAAAAAATATTTGTAAATACAAAAAATGAATTGATTTGCAAGACAATTTCATAAAAAAAGTTATACAAAGTGAAAATTTAAATAATACAATAATTTATTATTTACACAGTAATGTTCACGAAGCTTTAAACAAGCTCAAAATGTAACACTGCGTTGCAAAATCAATTCTTGTTTTTTTTTTTGTGAGTTATGAAATCAAGTAGGTCTAATTCATATAAACAAATCCTTAGACTAAACAGAAACGTATTTGTTACAATATCACATGACTTCGATGATCACGTGACGGTGATAGATCATAAAACAAATATCTGTTTATAAGGATCATTGACCTTCACCAAAGCACTTTTTTAGGGAGAAGTAAATTTTCATCTTAAAAAAAATATTTGTAAATACAAAAAATGAATTGATTTGCAAGACAATTTCATAAAAAAGTTATACAAAGTGAAAATTTAAATAATACAATAATTTATTATTTACACAGTAATGTTCAGGCTTCACGAAGCTTTAAACAAGCTCAAAATGTAACACTGCGTTGCAAAATCAATTCTTGTTTTTTTGTGAGTTATGAAATCAAGTAGGTCTAATTCATATAAACAAATCCTTAGACTATACAGAATCGTATTTGTTACAATATCACATGACTTCGATGATCACGTGACGGTCATTTACTTTTTTGAAGATTTTCACATAAATCTGATTGATAAAATCATTATTAATTCTTTGTCATCTAAATAATCTCGTCGCATCCTTGTGAACCGGAAATTTGCTTGGGAAAGTTATACTATTACTCTGATAAATAATATTTTACAATAATTTCAACTTACCGAAAAATCCACTCAACATTGTCATCTGCTTGAAAACAAAGCCATCTACATTTTTTCCCCAAGCAAGATTCACTAGGAGGGAAAATTTTTTTGCATATTTCCAAAAAAGATGTCAACAAATAAGTTAAGGAGCTAACCTTGTTAAAAAAAGTTAAATATTTAAACGTTAAAAAGGAGAAAAATATTAAGAAATTTTCCCTCTAGAAATTCACTCTATTCTAATATCTTTAAACCGACTTTCAACTAATTCAGCATAATTACTAAGCAATGGTATCTCCTTTGCAGTTACCTCCGTTTTACTGTAAGAATTAATGTTCTCCATCAATAATTTGTAGTGGTCGTTCTTAAGAAATGTTTCAAGACACTCATCGTCCTTTTCCATATAAATAGTAAAGTTAAACAATGCATTTTCCAGTCTTTCCTTTGCTTTCTCCTTCAAAGTTACGTATCCATCACCTGAATAGTCAGCCTAATTGCAGACACCATGAAAAATGGAAAGAATATTAGTATACCCTAAATATTATATATACAGGGAGTTCAAAAATATATGATAGGATTTGGAATAACGCTATGAACGCTGGCTCCTTGTCATGAGCTTAAATCGCAGCCCCAACTGATCTAAGTAGATAAAAACGGTAGCGACTATTCCTAGCCATTTGCTCTGCACCTTTAAAGTTACGGGTCCTTCGGATTTGACCTAAAACGAGTTTTCGTTTCGGAGCATTTTATGGCATGATAAAGATCCTTCCCTGCTCATGATCAATGGCCATGAGCGCCGAGTATAAGGCGCAATTTGAAGCCCCTTCACCGATTTATTATTGAAGCCTCCTCATAAGTGAAAAATTCTCGAATGGGACGTAAAAATTCAATATAAAAATTCTTATTCATCTCATTTCATGCTTGATTCTGTAACTTTAAAGCAACAAATTATTCCAGTAAAATATGTCAAAATGAAATTATGCATTAAATTATGCACTAAAAATCCGCATAACAATTTGCTTCAAATTGCAATTCAATCAAGAATAGATTAATCAAATGAGCTACTAACTCTAATTTTATAGGTGTAATTATCACATCCATCCAGGTGCATGGTTTTTAGTCAGGTTTAGAAGACAGAAAGGAAATTATAAAATGTATACAATTTGTTGCATTGAAAATTGTTTTAGATGGGTAGAGCGAACAAGTTTTTACTCAATATCATTTTGGAAAACCAAATGATTTATCATTTGAAGAAAACAAAACTCAATGCAAATACATGTATTTGGTTCATGTAAAGCAAAGGAAGTTCGGATTATATTTTACTTTTTCAATTTTGTCGCAAAATGTGGTGTCTCGCAACATGAATTAAAAATAAAAGAGTACCTTTATTTTTATCATCATTATGCAAATATTATATGTGATAAAGCTCATTAATTATTTAATATAATTCAAAATCCTGAAATACAGAAAAATGAAAATATGAAAAAAACATTATCCCCGACAACAAATTTGTTCACATGTATCTCCATAATTTGATAATTGATTTCAGAAAATATTTAAACCATGAGAATAAGGTCAAAAAAGACATACTCAGGCTAAAACATAAATTCATTCAAAATTTTAAAGTATTAGATAAAAAATAGGAAATAATAGAAATCAAAGAGGAAATTCGGACAGTACATGTAACAATTAATAAGTTTAATTTATGGCTCAAACTCTAAAAAATGTAATTGTTTATCTATATGAAGGAAGGATATGGAAATGACGCTGTTCCATATTATATTTCATTATTTATGGAGTTGTATTACTTTTAATTTTTGGAAAAAAAGACAAGTGGTCAAAGTGTAAAGAAAATGAGATATTTTTCCGAGAAAGGTTATATAGAAGTAGCATAAAAAGTAGGCCATTGACCTAGTTATTTGAAATTCAAATTATGTTCTGATCATTGGAATTTTTTTATTCTGAGTAAATAATGATGTTATCTTTATTTCATTGTTATTATAACATAATCTTAATCGTTTTTTATCATAAGAAGTATACTTTCGATGAAAATTTAGAAATTAACTACCGAGAAATGCATGGATATCTTATATACAAGCAATATCTTTACAAGCGATCAGAAAGATTTTCTCAATTCAAAATCAAATTCAAAATATATAGATTTAATAATCTCCCCATCATATTTTTTTTTTTACATTTTGTATAAATCCTTTGTATGCGTCATATTTTGTCATACTCTATATATAAACAACGCAGTATGTCCGATGGCTCAAAAATGCCTTGAAAATATACATTTTAATTTTTTAGCTACATTTTAATTTTAATATGTAATTCTTCTTTGAAATAGTCAACTTGAGATAATAGTTCAATCAAGTTTTATTTTTTTTTAAATATTATGATGGCACGTGACTGTGTTGATCACGGGACGAAGATTTATGATATTCCTAATCGTTGCACAAAAATCCTTTGGCATAAGTGCAAAAAAATATATTGTGCAAAGTTTTTACATATATCAATTCATCGTGATGTCTGATACATGGAAAGTGCTGGGGGCAGATTTAATTTTTACTCATTTAGAATATCTTACAAGAAATTCAACTTACCAACATAGGAAGGGGTATTTCCACACTTTATCGCGATTTATACAAAAATGGATAAACAAGACACAATTCCCAAGCAAAATCCAGTTAGAGGACATACTTCTCTTATAGATTCATCAGACTATTTTCAATATGTCCTTGTTTACACTTGTGCCAGTTCAATTTAAACATGATTCATCAATTCTATTTACGGACATGTAAGGGGAGCGTTTCACAAATAATCATTTGCTATTGTTTGAATATGTGAATACAGGACAAGCAACAGGAATAGGATATTCAAATTTCAAATGTTCAACATCATAACCACACTCCATTTAAAAACAATCCTTACACTTGAATTAACCAAAATAAATCTACATGGCATGTATTAATTATGACACTTTCCCCGTCATGTCAGCTCATGCATGGAGTGACTTGACGTCATCTTCTATTATGACGTCATATCTACATGTATGTAGCTCAGAGAAGTTACTACAGTTTTATACTTTACAGACAGCCTTATTCTAGCTGCAAAGGAAATTCGATATAGTACTAGTATTGCGAATTTTATATTATAGATTGGGCAAAAAGCATATTGTAGTATTTGCGAAAAATTAACACTTTCCCATAAAATGATATAGTTTGTATTTTCAGACGATCCCTAAAAATACCCGGGTGGTAGATTTTCCCAAAACTTCGCACTGTGCACTGACGTCTAAGTAAGCTATATAAATACAAATAAAAACTTTCTCTATTGTATTTTTTTACACAATAAAACCCGAGATTGGCCCCTTAGAATATTTTTAAAAGTGAGTATATTGTGTCTTGCATCTTTCAATGTCCGTCAAGTTGTGTGAAAAAAATATACAGAAAATGTAATGTTTAGAGTACACTATATGTCTACTGTTACTTACAAGCAGAGGTTGCTTATCTCGCACAGATATATCTGTAAATAAGAAATTAGGCATAAAATTAGTTCAAATATCATTTCAAGTTAAGTAAATAGACATTTTTTCATTAATACGATGATTATATTCTTTGTCTACCTGGCTCTTCAATATCTTCAACATCTTCATCCATGTATTTTATATTATCTTTAAAAAAAAAATAATAAGACATTTGATAAAGAATGACAGTCTAGTTTCTTGGGTATGCCAGGATACCATCAATTGTTTGAAACGTGAAAGGAAAATAAACAAAATAACGTGCAAAATATCACACATTATAGCGACATGTACACAGATTCAACTGAAATTTATCAACTATGTTTCTAACTTGTTTCAATTTCTAACTTAGGCCACTGAAGCAACGCACTTTGATTTTTTTCAAAGTGCTTTAAAATTGGGAATAAAATCAACGCACTTTGAATTTTTTTTCAAAGAGCAATAAATACTGTTGACGTCGAAATGCGCTCATTGTGACATCATCAGTCAACGGATTTATCGCTGGGAATCAAAAATTGCATGAACATTTTCCAAGAGTGGATAGCAAACACTATTCTCCAGGTTAGAGTTTTGCTATATGTTGACTAAAAAGAGTTTTATAAAAGAGTTATTTTACCTCTGAACTTTAGATAGGAAAGATTTTAACAGAAGTATAATAACACCAACTAACTTTTTATTTAAAAATGTATTCATTGTTCCGGAAAATTAGATATTACCTGAATCAAAGGTTCTGCTGAATCCTTTATGGACAACTTTGCATGTATTTGTATCTGTCGATTTTTCTTCTACAATCACACAGGGCACAAACAAGAGTATTACAAGAGAATTACCTTGATTGAAATTTAAATAAAAAAAGATTTTTAACATTTACAATTATCAATCGATGTAAAAATAATCAATAGAAAAAAATATAAGTAACTGAGTGTCATCTGAAGAAAAAACAGAATCAAGGTCACACACGTCCAGTACCAAAAGACAACATTATTGATCCTTTTTGTTTTGTATTCACTGCCTTATGTGGAATGAGTGCATAGAGTAAATCCATAAATCAAAGACGGGTCAACAACAGACTCGAGGCAAACGTTGCAGTCTCCATCAAAATATGCAAAGTGAATACGGGTTTCTTTTTTGGAAGGGATTTACTATGCTTTTAGGTTGAAATTTTTCGGCACTGTACATTTAAAAAAAATTTGTGCAATAATTCATTGAAAACGAAATGTTTACCTTCATCATATCTTCTGCTGTGCCCTGATGGTGAGACATTATATTCATCAAGAGTTTGTGATTCAACAATTATGACAGACTCTGTAAAAGCAAAACATTTTCAAGACATTATCGAACAACAAATATTGTACAAATTAAATGATTAGAATTCATGGAGAAATAAATTCACAATTTAATATATAAAAAATCTATCGAATAATTGATATGAGAAAACTCGTGGTCATTTCTTAAAACCTGTACATTTAAAATAACCATCGATAGCCATATTTTAAATAAAATGACTTCCATATGAATCTTACAAGTTTCTTACACGATTTTTACACGAAAGTCGCACTTTTCTCACACTATTTTCGTAAGCTCGCTACACGGATTGAACACAACGGTAAAGGCAGGAAAGTTGCATTCTTTCCTGGGATAGTAACAGGTCTTTGGGTCTGTGCTGAAAGATTATGCTAATATTTTTTTTTTTAATCATTTGATGTTTGTTAAAATGTTTTAATTTCATGGCGCTTGATCAGATAATTTTTGATAACGCCTCGTATAATATCAATATAAAATTCCTGAACTTTGCAAAAAACATGGAAATATTGATGTGGTATATAAGTAGTATATAAAAACATACAAAATGGATCAACTTTCACACCCAACAAGATATAAATAAGATGAGAAGTCACATTACGTCTACAGTAAACCTGCTTTATTAAAAATTATCGTAAAAATTGTTAAGAGAAGGCATTCTTGGAAAGTATCACCAAAAACACGTGATGAATAGATCTGTAAATTATAGTCAAATTTTCCTGTTCTTTTACGCTTTAGTCTACAGAGCTTGCTGTTCTGAACATATCTTCAAAGTATGCATTGTTTCTGACGAATACAGAATACAAGTCTTGGGTCAATATCGTAATTTATACTCACCTCTGTTTTTGGTCTCATTGGAAAGTGAATAACAAGAACATTTTCTGTTTTCTGATCCATGGATTCTCTTCTCATTCTCTTCTGATTCAAAATCTATTATTAAAAAGAACAAATTATGGAAAATGTAAGCGACCTAGAATTACAAAAGTCTCTTTTTTAATATAGAAATTATTTTCTACTTTACCATCAAATTTGAAAGATTGAAAATAAAAGAAAAATCCAGCAGGTCATTTCAAGAGAGAGAGAGAGAGAGAGAGAGAGAGAGAGAGAGAGAGGGAGGGAGAGAGAGAGAGAGAAAACAAAAGCTCAATAAAACTTTAATGTATTACAATAAAGATAGAAGTATAACAATGTAAAATTCCCAAAATTTGTTGCAATGTCATACTACGACTTTTCACATCGTTTTTAAACTTTTTTTTGCACAATGATATAAGAAAACTTTTGGGTAATACAATAAAATTGGAAATGACACGTCTTGATAAACGTATACTAACAACTAAGAAGTTTTAGAATAAACGTTTATAATAATCCAGTTCGAATTTCACCTGACAGTTTTCCATTTTTAACCTATGTTCAACCTATTAAATTCTAACAAAAATATGAAATATAAGACCTCTTAGCCATTTGTAGACTCGGTTTCTCTTATTTACCCTTATTTAGTTGCTGTGAAAAGTCAATGATCAAATTTTCTTTAGATGAGTTATATGGGTTGCATTTTGTCTGTATTTTTATACATCCCGCTTGAAAAGTGGGAGGGTATATAGTAATCGTTATGTCCGTCTCTCCGTCTGTCACACTTCAGTGGTACCCATCTTTTATCCGCAACTTCTCTTATACTACTGAGTGAAATTTAATGAAACTTTCTCGGAATCTAAATTACTTATTGCCATTGTGGCCTCCTATTTTACTCTTTTATTCGACACCTATTTTAGTTTTCCCATAGCTAAAGACGGACATTGCCTTTATATTCTCTCTTTTGACGTCACAAATGGCGGCTTATGAATAACATTAGATACGACGAGTTATTCCTCTTTATGCTTTACCGTAAAACAATACATGTTTGTATATAGCAAAAAATGGACATTATGGGAGAAGCGGGTATTATTTAGTGAGCTCGTTGCTCAGAGTACCATTCGTTTAAAATATTTTTTATTGCATGTCATTTAGTTATTTGAAAAACACATTACCTAGATCATATCAAATTTTTGATAAAAAATATGACAGGAAAACACAGAGAAACACAGAGAGCCTTGTCTTGCAATATTTTATTTTTCGATTAAAAGAAAATCTTGTTAAAACAAAAAATAATTAATTTTGAATAAGTATAAAGTCTCTATAAAAGATGATATAGAAATAATAATTACCATAACAAAAATCATTTTTAATACTGATATTATTTTAATGTGTTTATTTCTCGTTTATCTAGAGCATTATTTGTTTTCAGATATTGTACTTTTTAACAATCCGTTTATGTCAACTTAAACCCTGAGTAAACGTCATCCGTAAAAAGAGTTATGATTGTGTGGAATTAATGCGCAATACAAGCTTTTCTTTTAATCATAAAGCAATTTTTTTCAAGATATTTTTATAGGTATTTTTTAACAATGATAAAAACTTTGCTCTCAGTACATGTACTTAGTTCAGGGATTGAATTGAGTATATAGATGCATGAAGTTTATTTCTCACTAATTTTCTCTCATATTAGATTTGAATTTCGAAACATTCATTTTATTAACATTACATTGCCAGGTTACTTTCTTTAACAGTTATGTCACCTTTTTTGTTTGAAACTTTACATATAATCACCGTCAGTACACAGAATTTCAATCAATCTAACCTTTTAATGAAAAATGTACAGATGGCAAAAAAACGACAAAATAATAATCCATAGCATTACGCTTTCTACATTATTTTCAACAATATGTTATGTTTAAAACTTACTGGCACATTTCTCCGTCAATGCACTTGATGTCTTTGTTAGTGACAAAGGGAAAGTGGGAAATTCCATTCGAGAGGACATACTTAAATTCTTCTTTGATCTATTTTCTGTAATTCCACAATACACAATAAATAAACCTTGTCAATTTTATTTTATCTACAGAGTTCTGCCTTTGGATGAAGAGGAACAGTCCATTTTTAAAGTCAAGGAAAAATCGTTGAAAAGCTTACAAATCAAAAATAATTCGGCAGATTTTTTTCACAAGTTTTATATATAAACATGCTTAAATTTACTAACCTTTATATTTTGGATAACACCTTAAGATTATTATAATAACACTGATAAATAAAACTGCTAATATAGTCCCCAAAGTCACTCCTATGCCATTGAACGAATTCCTCTCTCTATCACTGAAAATATAATAAAGTCCTTGATTGAATACTTTCCTGCAAGTTATCTCGTATGTAACTGATATAAGGACAAACTTCTCGGAAGAATTTCATCACGAAATGTAAAATGTTGCATACACAATTACTCAACAATTCTTCATCCACGAATTCAAATCCTCACAAACAGAGTTTTTACTAAAACCACGAAATTTTGAATCCACGAAAATATGTGATTTTACAGTAATACAAATATACGAAGTCGGCATGTAAATGCAAGAAATGTTATTGTCAATACATTTGATGTCATCTAAGTGACATATAAGTGTTCGCTCTAGGGTCACGGAATAAGGAGTTGATCCTTACGTTGCAGGTTCCAAACCCTCTGTTGGACTTATGGCTATACGGATGAGACTGTATTAACTGATGGCCAGCATCGCAATGAGTGCTGGCACAAAAAATAACCTCACAATACTCAAAGACCATGAAGGACGAACATAGGTCAAATGTTGCAGCTTTCCACCAGCAAGTGGTGGGGTCTCAATATGAGTGATTTTTTTTTTCTAGAGAGACATTAGACAATAAGCATACAAATAAAATCAGTTTATTTGACTGTCAAGTTAAAGGTCATGTAGAAGGTTATTCAAAGTAATCTTTAAGAGCAAAATTGTTAAAAAATACCAAAAATTAAGAAAACAAAAGCATACAGTCGTACCTTCTTATTAGTTGAAACACAAGACGTTAGTTAAGGTTGAAAATATTTTAAGTTATAGAAAGGGAAATTGTTAATTAAGAGGGTTGTAGAAAGAAAGAAATTAGACAATCGTCAAAATTTTAAAATTACAATCACTTAAAAAATATTTTTCAAACAATTTTCAAAAAAAATAAATTAACTACATGTACTTCAAGATATTTATTGTTTATCTGTACCGTAACGATTTTCCAAAGTCTTTTTTTCTAAACAGCATGAATGCCTAACTCTTACACTGATTTCCTTCTTTTAAACTGTGAATAACATGCACTTGATATTTCTGGGTTTTTTTATTTTAGTTTTTTAATCGTCCTTATCCTTTGCTTTCTACACATGATTATTGTATGTTATGCCTTACTTTTGTTGAGTTGTTCTGTTAATTGATGTAAAAGTTGTAGTCTTGTCTTCAGACGTGCCCAAATGCTCCAATGTTGTAATTTCTGGTTTTTGGGTCATATTATAACATTCTTGATCTGTAAAATACACAACACCATCAAACCATAATGTTCCAATAACACCCTGTATCATCTTCTATGAAATTATAAATTATTAAAAACTGAGAATGCATATAAGATTGCATTAAAAAAAATCCATGGATAGAGAACTTGCAATATAATCTGAAAAACACATACACATGTATATATATATATATATATATATATATATATATATATATATATATATATATATATATATATATATATATATATATATATATATATATATATATATATATATATATATGATTCCAAAACTTTGAAGAGTAAAATTAATGATAAAATTACAATATATGCATGTATTAATGCCATGAAATGTCACAATATACTAAGTAATCAATCAACGGAGAAAATGAACCTACATTTGTACGCTGTTGATGACAGGTATCTTCCTGGGCAATGATGACATTTGGCTTCATAATTGGCTTGTATTAACTCTCCTTTTGTATTATATTCGGCACAATATCCTGAAAATTGAAATGTGTATGATTGTTTTCAGCGATTTGGGTGAAACCTTGCTATATTCTGAACAAATGCTGAAGATTGCAGAAAAAAGATGTAAGAATGAATTTTTTAAGGGAAACTGTTTTTATAACGCGGCATGTGAATACGTTTATTTGGGAAAAAAGATATTCATTACCTAGATTGATGTAAGCTTCCACCGCGCACATTTCCATTTTTACACTCATAAAATGGTCAATGACACAATGATACACGTAATTCTCAGGCCAGGAACAAGTGCTGTGTTTATATAGAGAGCTGCAGTTCTTTAGTTTTGATCGCTGTTTCCATGATTCTAGATTAAAAGGGCATGATTCCACGATTTTCATAGAAATGTTCGATATTTCACAGTGCTGAGCACTGATAAGTTGTATTGGAAAACACTAAAAATAAAAGAACTTTATTTTTAGGGAATAAAAACATTGTTATAATCCTGTAAGCAAAACGGCGGGTATATTTAAAGAGAAGAGTAATAATATAACAATTTTAAAATATATATATATTTACATGTATACGTATTTAATCAAACTTATTATTTCTAGCATCTTCAGGCATATTTTTGTTAATAAATATAAACTATGTATATTATCCACAATCGTTTTGCTGATTTGTACTGCTTAAATAAATGTGTTTTGCTAGTATTTATTGCCTGTGCTATTTAAAAAAAATCTCATCTGTATTCTAGTATGGATCTCATATCTTAAGAAAATCAAAAAGAGGAGGTCGACCAACAGCAGTTTATTTTTATTTTAAGAAGGCATTTTCAAGGTATCTTTATTAACAAGCTCGTGTAACCTGACATATGAAAAAATACTAATATATTAATATCCTGTTGAAAAAATATCTGTAGTCTCTGGTTCAAATATGTAAAAACTCATTTGGGTGACATCAGAAAAGACAATATATAGATAAGTACATTTACTTTAAGCAATTTTTACTGGACGTCGCTAGATTTAATGTCGAATTTTTGCTTCAAACAAGGTTTTTAAATTAAAAAAATCTCTAGCAAGTACAATTTAACAACTGCAGCGTTGCACCGACCACTAGAATGAAAGATCAATTTGACTGCGACGAAAATTTAATTCCATTTATTACTGTGTACTTAGTAATGAATAGAGGTTTTTTGCATATGCGTTATGGCTGACGTCATCAGCCCTGCAAAGCTGATATAGATTTGCGGGACTGATATGGATTTGGAGGGCTGATACGGATCAATGTCACATCCTTAATAAATAAAACCTTAAAAAAACACTGTACTTTTGATCATACACATATTTTGGGGGTAACATAATTCTCCAAACTTTAACTTTTTTTGAATGAAGGATAATCTAATTGATAATAAATTGATTATTTTCAAATTAAGAGTCTGGGACATTTGAAATATAGTACATGTAGAAACAAACCATAACCGTATGAGAAAACAGACTGTGTATGTTGTAGAAATCTGTGCATGATTATTTACTAACTTTCTTCTCAACTCAATGTGTTTTGTATTTTGTTACTAAGTATGTAATAAATATAATAAAACATAAACTTTTTCACAACACATCCTGTATCAGCCCTCGATCAATATCAGCCCTCGGGCCTTCGGACCTCTGGCTGATACAGGATTTGATATGGAAAAAGATATGTATTATTCTCTATATATTATATATTAACAAAAATTTATATGAAGCTTTCAAATGTATGTCTGGCATTGGAAAAAAAAACAATATATTTACAATATATCAGTCAAAATGTTTTTTGGTTTTTTTAGGGGGGGTGGGGGGTCATACAAATTTACTTGAATGCTTGATTGTCAAAAATCTTATGACTGTAACGTAATTGCTCACTTTTGATCCTATGATTGAAATAAAGAAGTACATGAGGAGGAATTTCGTGGTTAATTCCATCAAAAGATTTAGATTGAAAGTGTGCCATTGTTGATGCAATCTTGATTCCATACATAATCTTGTATCACATTTTTGAAGATCTACAATGATAATAAATACAGATAAAAGTTAGTCAAATTTTTTTTTTCCTAACCAGTAATGATACTTACGTTCATAAAGTATCGAAATGAACGTAACACATAATACTTGTATCACAATCTTTCCCTTTTTCAATATGATTAAACAATTAAGTGTCTCCTACAACGAAATGAAATGGATTTCAGAATGAAGGGATATCGGCGGATATACCATTAACTCAAATTTCCTCATGCGTACATGCACAAAAAGTGAAAGCAAAATCCGTAAGGAATGTTAAAAAACAAATCTAAAAGTATTGACACTAGCTATATAATAACTTTTGAAAATTTCCACATTATTAATTCCGTTTTGAATACTTACATGTATAACCACTTAAACATTCTCTGCATTTGCTTTTCATTTAGTCATTCTAACAGGGTCAAAATACTTCCCACAAGAAACAACTGTGTCCTTTTTTCAGTTTGACAAGTGTAAACATTTTCAGATGGACCTACATCTATATACTCGTACGGTGTACTATATGCATAGTATTTAGATTTCACTCACAGCTTGCGCTACATCTGAAGGTATTTTAATTAACTTGCGAAGCTACTATCTCATAGTACAGTGGACCTTCAGATATCCGGACGCCAGATATCCGGATGCTTCAGTATCCGGACGATTTTTCATCGGAACGAAATTTTCAAATGCTATTCTGTCTTGTTTAACTGGAGATTCAGATATCCGGATGCTTCACATATCCGGACAAATTGACTGGGAACCAAAGCGTCCGGATAAATGAGGGTCCACTGTATACCTTATATTATTATATACCCATCAATTTCCTTGTTTTTGTTACTGTTAATTTTTTAAAGTTTGATCCGATTTTCCGGATCACCTCACTGTGGTTCTCAGAATCCATATGACCACTCTCTGAAACTGATGACGTAGTACGCAAAAACATGACGTTATTTTTGTGGCGCGTTAAAAATTCCCTTGTTATTATGCTTTGTGTTATGGATAAATATTAAACAATTGATCTCTTAAGTTTTATTCTGCTATATTTAGCTAGTTATAAGGGGGTATATAATAAATTTATCATTATAACAGTAACTTGATCCGATGAGCCGTATCACGTGTCGTTGACAGGCGCGGATCATCAGATTAAACTCGACGCTTCGCGTCTCGTTAGATCTTATGATCCGCGCATGTCAACTCGACGTGATACGACCCTTCGGATCAAGTTACTGTTATAATAATATATATTTATTATTACTTAACGCATACCACATAATTTTACTGTAGATTTAACGCAATCACTTGACGTCGTGATCCGACTTTCTGGATCACCACACTGTGGTTTTCTGAATCCATATCACCACTCTTTGAAACTGATGACGTAGTGCACATAAATATGACGTTATTTCTCTTGCGCGTAAGTCCTTTGTTATTATCCTTTGTTTTAATGGGTTAACATTATACAATTGATCTCTAAAGGTTTATTATACCCCCGCTTGAAAAGCGGGAGGGTATATAGTGATCGGGATTTCCGTCCGTCCGTCTGTCTGTCCGTCCGTCCGTCTGTACGTCCGTCCGTCCGTCTGTTACGCTTTTTCTCTTATCCGCAACTCCTCTTATACTACTGAGTGAAATTTAATGAAACTTTCACAGAATCTTTATTACATATTGCCATTGTGCACCTCCTATTTTACTTTTTTATTCGACACGTATTTTAGATTTCCCAGAGCAAAACATAGACATTGCCATTTTTTGTTTACCTATGACGTCACATAATAGAAGCTTCTGGATAACATTTCATAGGACGAGTTATTCCTATTTACACATTACCGTAAAACAATATAAAGCAACACATCGACATTATGGGAGGCGGGGGTATCATTTAGTGAGCTCATTGCTCACAGTACCTCTAGTTTTAATATATTTAACCAGTTATTGACGGGTATATAATAAATTCGCGTCTCGTTTGATCTGATCATGATGATCCGCGCCTGTCAACTCGACGCGATACGACCCTTCGGATAAAGTTACTGTATAATAATATATATTTACTCGGATTAAAGAAACCCCTATAACATTTGTAATAGACACAGACAAATTTTAAATGCGTCTTATAAGTTTATTGTGATCATTTCACATTGCAGAGGGCTGAGCAGCGGCGATAGATGGCGCCTCAATCAAGTCTGGGATTCCTGGCTGAGATGGCGGTACTCACCTGTCGTTTTGTACGATAGTGACAGAAATACCAATCGTCTAAAACCCCAAAATGTTCAGAAGAGTAAATTTTTGAAGAGCTCAGATAAAACGGATGCCAAAGAAAAGAGCAAAATAATTTGAAGGATCAAAGCTAGGCACTTAATCTTAAATCTAAAATCTGATTGAAACAATTTGTAAAATTTTGAGAAAATGGTCAGAGGCAATAATACACTCGAAAAATGATAGGCACAAAATAAAAAAAAACTTTAAAACACTTATTGCAAACGTTAAAGTATGAAAGCCCTGAAACTGTATAAAAGTTTTAGCCAAACTTAAACTATGAAATTGTTCAATCTTCAAGGTCAAGAGGTTAAATTTGGTGTTATTGAAAAAAATCTTTTCACTAGGAATTAAATTTTAAAATGTGAAAGAAATGACCCTGTCAACTACAAAGTTATGATCAATGTTAAAGTTTTTCGCTTAAACAGACAAAGCAACAGACGGGCGGACAGGCAGAGCAAAAATTATCTAACTTTGGACACCCAATCAGGAAAGAATAATTAACATTTTTGTTATTGGGAATTCGTCAGAAATTTTTCCTAAAAATGCCAAGGTTTTCCATATAAATAAAAATGTTATGAACTGTCTGCGAATATAAACATTTGCAATTTTAAACATGAACCTCGTAAGCTCATTTGAGTCAGTTTGGTGTGCTTATTCATTTCAATGTAAAATATGACATAATTATATTATCATTCGGTCTACCTCTTAGGGGTACGATCTGGAAAAACAAAATTGCTCCACACAACCAAATAAGAATTCTTATAGCATTAAGTTATCGTCTCTGTTTTTGTTTTTCCTTAATTTGTTTTTCTTTAGAACAAACAAATCTAAGTTTCATCCTCTATTTAGTCTCATCCTAGACCTGGGATTTACGAATTTAAGAATTCAGAAAAAAATCTTTTAACAGGAAGCTCCGACATTAGTTTTACTAACCAGTTGTTCTTGTCAAGAAGGTTTTTCTAATAAATCTTAAATGAAAAATTTTAACAAATATTGATGCTTCGTCCTAGGATTGTCATGATTCGTAAAAAATAAAATGTACGACTCCTAAGAAGGCTTCCACACAAGTTTCATATTCATTGGCCCTCTGACTCTTAAGAAGAAGATATTCAGGGGTTCCATACTTTTATTAAATATTTTGGTTATCTTCTTTTGGAATCTAATTTTGTTCTTTACTTTAAAATCACTAATTTTCGTAGGGGATTTTATTTATTGTTTTGGAAGTATGGAAAGACCCATGAATTTATGACCACCAGGAAATAGAAAAATTCATATGCATTGCTACTAAACATTGTCCAACCACGAAATCAAATCCCTCAAACTAGATGTATTCTTAAAACCTCGAAAATTTGTATTTTAATACTAGATTTGTAGAATATCCTGTACCAAATCTTCTCTAGCCAAGGGTGTTTGATACTTTACCACTACATGTAACCTGTGGCATAAGGTGTCAAAAATAAAATTGGACTTTTTCTCAAGTTGTGATTGGAGTCGATCAACATTATTCGTACTATCGGCTATTGTTTTTTTTTAAAATAAATATTTTGGATATATCTTGTCTCTTTAATCTTGGGAATGTAAAAAATGCAAGTGAACAACAATGTGTAAGGTGTCATCCAGTACATTCGCAATATGTGAATACGAGTTGAATCTATATTGAAGCAGTTGAGTTGTACTTTTAAAAAGTAACAAATAAACAAAATTAATACTTTTCTTAATTATTATTCTTTAAAAATTCGATTTTTTTTAAAATATGCTTATTTATGTCTGTACATGATGCAATCAAATTCGAAAACATGTGACAAAAACAATTCCTTTTTGATGGCACCATATACCAATTGAAAGGGTTTACAAGGAGAGTAGCATATATGAAACCCTGGGCTAGTGAAATTGACTGCTTCCGAGAAAATTATATTTTGTGCCAGTGTTGGTTATAATTGATCTGGTGATTCTTCAGAAGAAGTCCAAAATATCATGTTTATAGACGAACGGGCAGGTAGACAAATGGAAAGTCAGATTACAGTTGAACAAGAGGTAATCAGAAAATTAATGATGTTAAGCTCTAGTAATTAGAAAAACATTCATAATATTAATACCCACAATTTTTTTCTCTAAAGTGTAATTATTTTCCCCCCAAAGAATCGGTTAATAAATACAACATGTATAAAAGTTAACGCTTACCAGATATTTTTCTGTCGTCCTTTTCTTGATTGATTTTTTGAAGGCCAATGCATACACTTGGTTCACATCTAACTAAATCGACAATTTCGGTTTCGTTTGCACAAGCGATTCCTATCAATAAAGAATTTCAATAAATCTACAAGACAAACAAGTAGTTCGAGCTTAGATTGATTTGAGTTTTCTATCGAACAATATCCCTTGGAGATATATGGGTCTAGGATTGAAGCATATTTTATGATTTTCCATGCCTCAATTGTTCATTAAAACACGGAGTTAAAAGTTTTTTTCTTAAATAAGGGGTGTTAAAAAAGTTCGTTCCATAATGAATTATTTTCAAAAATTTCAAAGTAGTGCTTACCTGTAAAGATTAATTTTCAAGTTTGACAAAATCACAAGAGTGTACTTTAGATTTATAGCATTTCATTTCTAGCAGGAATGTATAGGATTTTTCTTCCATATGAAAATATACATAACATCTTAATTTAAAGAACCCGAATGATTGAAATGCTGGTCATTTTGAGTGAAAATAAAGGTTTCTGCGTAGCTTATTTTGTATCCGAGAAGC